TATATATATGTCAAATTATGTTTATATTTATATATGTCAACTTAGATTCGATGAATCAGATATTCAAATGTTATATTTACTCAAGCAAAGTGCTTGTTTTTCTATTAGCTACCACATCGACTGCTAAATTCAAAATGTTATTACTATAAATTTTCTGTAAATTTCTAGATGTATGGGATAGGGGCCGCTAAGTGGCCCAGGTGCCCAATTTTTGTAAATAAAGTAAGTAAAGTAAAGTAAATGGGTTTCAATTGGTGATTGATTGTGTTAAACGGGTTATAATGCAAAATCGGAGAAAACTGATCACTTTTTCTGATTGCAAAAACAACTTGTCTTTGCGCATTTCTCCTGAAATCCAGGTTAAAGATTGCAACAAAAATACCAATAATGAAAATAAAAATAGTTAGCTAAAATAAAAAATAGAAGTTAAAAATAAAAATAAAAAATTTGAAAATAAAGGAAAGAATGTTAAATTAAATAATAATAAGCAAAATGACGAAACTGTTAAAGAAAAGAAAATTTTGGAATTGAAAATAAACAAAACTAAAAATGTCAACAAAGTGAATTAAAAGAAAAATAAAACAAAAAAATAGACTTAAAAGTGAAGATTTAAATAGCAAAACTGAAAATAATCTTGAATTTTCAAATAGTCTTGAGACTAAATGTGATAATGGTATACAACATTGTCAAAATCATGCTGACGTAATTATGCAGGTTCAAGAAAATGAAAAAATGCCCCAACTTCAGGAAATTTTAGACAATTTTTCAGATATTTTTGTTAAAGATAAATATGATATAGGGACAATAAGAATTGAACTTCAAAAGGTAAGATTAACATCAGACTTACCATTGTCCTTACGAGCATACAAAACTTCCCCAAAACAACAAGAGGAAATAAATAAATAAGTTGGTGAATTATTAAGGCATAATGTAATTAAAAAAAGCTCTTCCCCCTATTCGGCTTCAGTAACTTTAGCTTACAAAAAAGATGAAAATAAAAAGAAGTAGATTGTGTATAGACTTTGGAAAATTAAGTCAAATTACTAAATCGGATGCAGAGCCATTACCTCTTATACAAACTTTCACAGATAAATTAGGCAATAGTGTTTATTTCAGTTGGTTTGATATGGTAAGTGGTTTCTGGCAAATTCAAATTAACCCTGATGACACTGAAAAACTTGCTATTGTCACCATCAGTGGGTTATATGAATGGAAGATTGAAGAACGCCCCTAGTATTTTTCAAAGAACGATACGCAGAATACTTACTAAACATAAAGTTTCATTTACAGCTAATTATTTTGTTGATATATTTATTTATTCCAATAGCTTTGCCGAACATTTAAATCATCTTAAAGAAATTTTTGAAACATGTAGATTTGAAAATTTAAAATTAAAAGCCTCTAAATGCATGCCATAGACCCGAAACTAATGGAAAAGTTGAGCGTTTGGGACAAACCATTGTAACATGTTTGAAATGTAAAACTAATGATTCTTCTAAAAAAATTCCTTGACCTAAATTATTATAAGATGTAACTGAAGAATATAATTTAACTACACATTCGGTAACTAAATTTCCACCAGCTTGTTTAATGCTTGGCACTGTCCCATTTAATCAACTTTTATCAGAAGAAATTTATCCACCAATAGAAGAAGTTAG